ATGGCAGACTGGCTTGAGATGCGAGGTCTCGATCCTGGCCATTGCAGGTTTTTGCGGAACCTGATTTAGAACCCTGTCTCAAGCTGGGTATCTGCTGCTCTGTCTCTCTCTGTTGAACTTTACCATCTTTTTTTTCTGCATTTGATATCTATCATGTTGTTTTTGCCTTTCAGACCATTGTGGTGCATCACGTGGATTTGCCTATTTTAAGTCAGATGTGCATAGCCAAGATGCAGTCCAGTTGATCATGTGTATAGTTTTTTGTGTCATTGGATTTGGCATGCTGATATTTTATTTAAGGTTATTGCACCAATTTTCACATCCTTTCTTTATATGTCAGGAATGCCTGTGAGCATTTCCTGTAATGCACGATTAGTGACGGTGAGTTCTTGTGTGGAGAAGACTTTATTCTTCATTTCTGAAGGGTGGCTTTGCTGAGTACAGCAGTCTTGGTTGGCAGTTACTATCTTGGCTTCATCATCCCAGATGATAAAGATGAGAAATTTACTGATAGTCTAGTACAGATTCCTTTTCATGTGGTTTGATACTTCTCTTTGCTGCTTTTGAAGTTCTGTTTGACTTTTGTTGATTCAGCTGAAGTATGCCTTGAATCTGGAAGGTCATGAACATGTTCATGAGCATTCTGTGACTTAGGAACTTTTCAGCAGTTAGCTCAATGAACAGGCTGTCTGCACCTGTTTTGTTCTTCTTCTGGAACTCCCATGATGTGAAAGTTAGTTTGCTTACTGGTATCCCCCATAAGTTCTGTAGACTCTCTTTATTTTATTGTTTTTATTCTTTATATTTTATTTTATTTTTATTTTTATTGCACCCTAAGCCCTAAAGCAGGACCTGAGCTGCATTGTTCCACAAGGTTAGAAATCACAAACACACCCCAGTCCTGAGACAGCTTCCGGTCTGGGGACCAGAGCCAGAGAATCTGGTCGTGTGGGCGATCTGCATCCAGTTCTGCCCGAGAAAGTGAGCCTGCATGCCACAGTGAATTTAGTGGACCTAAGCCTAGGACATCAGCTTCACGGCCACTGTGAGCACACAGGCCCTGGAACCCAGTGCCGCCCTAGCTGTTTGTGAGTTATGACAGTCACAAGAAAATGATAGGTTTCCTTAGCAACAACTCCCTATTATGAGAAAACGGAGAGAAGAACATCAACAATTTTTTTTCCCACACCAATAACTTTTTTTCTCCTGTATCTGGGGTAAGGGGTGAAACAAAGGGAAAAGCCCCACCCAGCCTCCCACCGATCACAGATCCCTGATGTGAGGCATGCTCTGAGGGTCCTGCTCAAGCAGCTTTGATTGTTCAACAGTTCTGAATTGCTGCCAGTCTTGCCGTTCCAAGTACGATAAACTCTCTTCAGAATCCACTGGCTGACATAGTTTCTTCATGGTTGGGGTTCTGAGATCACCAGTTCAGTTGGAGGGATCCCCAGAGAAACTTCGTCTGAGGTGATCCCAGACCTGATTCTTGTGTGTGTTTGCCAGTATAGGGTCTGACACCGTCCATCGCCCCAGTCAGCTTATGCACATGCTGGTGGTTGCAATTGCTGGATCAGTTCTGTCTCCAGCCCTGTCTTCCACACAAACCAATGGTTGTTTTAGTCCAGCCCGATCCTGTCCACTTTATACTCGGTCCTCACACAAACCAGTGGGAGCTGTAGCCTAGTTAGGGCAACTCCCCATAACACTCACCAGGCCTGCCCCCTACCCTAGTTCTCATGCATGCCACTATGTACCACAGACTTGCTCAGTCTGTCCCACGTCCCATTTAGCTCTTGTGCATGTCAATGGGCACTGAAGCCTAGTTCAACTCAACCAACCCGACTATCCAGTCCACACACATACTGGCAGGTGCCTTTCTGTCTAGCCATCCCTGCCCCTGTCCTGGTTTTCATGCTCTCCAGCGGGAGTGCTAGAACCTCAACAATTTACACTGCTAACACCACTTCTACAAACTCCTATAGCCTATGCTACTGAGGCAACCACAATTACCACTTAACATTGAACAAACTAGGACTGGTGAGATAGCCTAGTGGCTAAAGCCCTTGCCTTGCATATGCCAGAATCCCATGTGAGCACTGGTTCTAATCCTGGATGTTCCACTTCCCATCCAGCTCCCTGCTTGTGGCCTGGGAAAGCAGTCGAGGATGGCCCCAAGCCTCGGAATGCTGCACCCACATGGGAGACCAGAAAGAAGTCCCTGGCTCCTGGTTTTGGATCGGCTCAGCTCTGGCCATTGTGGCCACTTGGATAACAAACCAGTGGATGGAAGATCTTTCTGTCTCTCCCTCTCTCTATTAATCTGCTTTTCCAATGAAAATAAATAAATCATTTTTTAAAAAGTTACAAGAATAGAGCAGAATTCATGTTCTATACTCCTAAATATCGCTCCTGTATGCTCCAAAGCTAGCTGTTCACGTTGACCAGGAATTTGCCCTTGCAGGGTTCAGTGACCTTCAGGGATGTGGCTATAGATTTCAGCAGGGAGGAATGGCAGCACCTGGAACCTGCTCAGAGGACTCTCTACTGGGATGTGATGCAAGAAACCTTCAGCCACCTGCTCTCAGTAGGTAAGCAAGATAGCCGGGGATCCGTCTGAAGGAGGCTTCACTGACTGCTGGTGTATTTATCTGATGAACGCGCTGAGGGATAACTGTCCTTGATTTGGCAGGATTCTTGTCCTTTGAGAATTTTTTAGTAATATTCTATTCAGACAGAAATAATTGCTTTTCTGAAGAACAATTAGACTTCAACTGATTAGCTGGACTCAATATTTTTATTATTTCCCATGAACAGGGTTTCAAGTTCCCGAGCCAGGGGTTTTCATGTTGGAGCAAGGAAAGGAACCACAGGAATTGCAGAGTCAGAGCACACGTCAGTTCTGTTCAGGTGAGCGAGGGAGGCAGGGCTGTAAATCTCAGCTGTCATTGCAATGACTGGCACCTTACTGCTTGGAAACCTTGATGATTTATTGGGCAACTGAATGTCTTTAAAAAAATTTTTTTTTTTAATTTGAAAGGCAGAGTTTTCAACCAGAGACAGAGAAAGGAGTCTTCTGGCTACTGTTCTCTCCCTAAAATAGCTGCATCTGCTGGAGCTGGGCTGCTCTGAGTGCAGGAGGCAGGATCGTTCTCTGGGTATCCCACGTGGATGAGTGCAGGGGTCCAAACCAAGTGCCTGGCCCATCATCTGCCGCTTTGCCCAGGCATGCTAGTGGGAGCTGGATCTGAAGTAAAGCAGCTGGGACTTGAACCTGTGTCCACATGGGCTCCCTTCATCACAGGTAGTGGCTTTATTGGCTACATCGCTAGGCTGTCCTCCCTTTTTTTTTTTTTTTTTTTTTTACAGATTTATTTAAAAAGCAGAGTTAGAGAGAAATATTTTTTTGACTTCGGTCATTTCTGTCCTCTTTAGATGTTGGATCATATGCTAATTTGTTTCATTAAAGATCCTTCTTCGATATATATTTTTTTCAAAATATTATTTTTCCCTATCTTCCTCATAATTCTAGTCATTTCTGTTTATATTCAGGTGTTCACGAATCTGCTTTCTTAGAAAATTATTACATGACACACACTCCAATTCCTGCGACTCGCTTTTTATTTCCCTGCTTTTCTGTGCGATGCCCCACAACTCTGTGTCTAACCAGGCTGCCTTCCAGTTTTCACCAGAGGAATAAGATTCCTAAAAGCTCAGTTTCCTGCATGCTTTCATCCAACTGATGACTTGATCCTTGGCATGTAACCTTTTTGGGTATCTTTCTGCTGTGTTTGACAATATCAGCCATGTTTCCAGAAATTTTTTGCTAATGTTGTTTGAGTGCGTTTATGACTAGGCCTGGTTAGTACATTTTGTTTTGCTTTATCTTCTTCATCTGATGAGGTGTAAGTTTAATCATAATTCTTAGTTTAGGACTCATCACCATGAGTATACATAGATTCTTTTTTATCATTGGATTTATTATCTTTAGTTTCTTACCCCCATATCTGCCTTTCCCACTATAGGTCATTGTTTTGTATGATGGAAACTTTTCTTAAATTCATACATATTTTAAAGTGAATTAGGCATATGTGTCATTAGGTTATAAAAATGGCCTAGTGCGGTATATCTTGTTCTTTACCTTACTTTCCCTATATTTGACCATAGAGCAGTCTGTTAATCTAGTTTATTTCTTCAAACTATTGAATTGTACCCCAGGATGTCTCAACACTGTTATCAATCTCATAAATTACTCTTCTTTTTCCTTTTCTCTGTGAAAAGGAAACTAGGTGAATTGTATGTACCCTTCTCTCCAGCCTCTATTAGCTGTTACTTGAAGTCAGATCATGTGTTTTTCCTCCAGAAGGAGAGTTTGGGTATCAAACCTTAGGCAGGAAATTTCAATAAAAATTTTCTATATTGACAGGAAAGGTGATGTACAAGTGGTATTTCATATATTTCATTCTAGAAGTAGTGTTGTAGATTGGTCAGCACATAAGAGGGCTATTAGCAAAGAGCAAATAGTTACATGATGAGATTTCATAAAAAAATACTATGAAAATTCCTTATGACTATAATAATAGAAAAATAATCCATGTAGTCCCAGCCATTATCCTTTTCCTCAAAGACCCCATCAGTGCATCTCCCTTGGAAATGAGTTATACAGTTAATATAGAAATAATGCATCAAAGAATATTAAAAAGAAAACCAGATATAACAAGATTTCTTCCTATACTGACCATGAGTGTACTCCAACAGGAGAGAAATTATGGAACCATAAGAAACATGCAACACGTCTCAGTTGTAAAGCAGCATCCTCCCAATGTCAGGAAAGTCATACAGGGGAGAAGCCCTATGACTGTGCCGAATTTGGAAAGGTCTTCGCTGAGAAATCATTGTTCAAAGTACATCTGAAAGCTCATACAGGAAAAAAACTCTATGTGTGTATTGAATGTGGGAAGGCTTTTGTACAGAAGCCAGAGTTTATTACCCATCAAAAAAACCACACTAGAGAAAAACCTTACAAGTGTAATGAATGTGCAAAATCTTTTTTCCAAGTATCTTCTCTGTTCAGGCATCAGAGAATTCATACCGGGGAAAAACTCTATGAATGCAGTGAATGTGGGAAAGGCTTTTCTTACAACTCAGATCTCATTATACATCAGAAAATTCACACTGGAGAGAGACACCATGAATGCACTGACTGTGGCAAAGCATTCACACAGAAGTCCACACTCAAGATGCATCAGAAAATTCACACAGGTGAGAGATCCTATATATGCATTGAATGTGGTCAGGCCTTCATCCAGAAAACACACTTGGTTGCACACAGGAGAATTCATACGGGAGAAAAACCATATGAGTGCAACTGTGGAAAAGCTTTCATTTCCAAGTCGCAACTCCAGGCACATCAACGAATTCACGCAAGAGGGAAGTCTTACATATGCACTGAATATGGAAAAGTCTTCAGCAATAGTTCAAACCTCACTATACCAAAGAAAGTACAAAGTAAAGAGAAATCTTCAATATGTACTGAATGTGGGAAGGCATTTGCCTACAGGTCAGAGCTAATTATACATCAGAGAATTCACACTGGAGAGAAACCTTATGCGTGCAGTGACTGTGGGAAAGCCTTTACCCAGAAGTCAGCACTCACAGTGCATCACAGAATTCACACGGGAGAAAAGTCATACGTGTGCATGCAGTGTGGCCTGGCCTTCATCCGGAGGACACACCTGATGGCACATAAAATAATTCATACAGGTGAAAAACCTTATAAATGTGCTTACTGTGGGAAATTCTTTACTTCCAAGTCACAGCTTCATGTGCATAAGCGAATCCATACAGGAGAAAAGCCGTATGTGTGCAGTAAGTGTGGGAAGGCCTTCACAAACAGATCAAATCTCGTGACACATCAGAAGACTCATACAGGAGAGAAATCCTATGTATGTCCTAAGTGTGGGAAGGCCTTCACCCAGAGGTCAGATTTGATAACTCATCACAGAATCCACACTGGAGAGAAGCCTTATGAATGTGTTACCTGTGGAAAAGCCTTCACCCAGAAATCACACCTTAACATTCACCAGAAAATTCATACTGGAGAGAGACAGTATGAATGCCATGAGTGTGGGAAAGCTTTCAACCAGAAGTCAATCCTCATTGTGCATCAGAAGATTCACACGGGAGAGAAGCCCTACGTGTGCACCGAGTGTGGAAGGGCCTTCATTCGCAAGTCCAACTTTGTCACTCATCAGAGAATCCATACTGGAGAGAAACCTTATGAGTGTAGTGATTGTGGGAAATCCTTCACGTCCAAGTCTCAGCTCCTGGTACATCAGCCAATTCACACAGGAGAGAAACCCTATGTGTGTGCCGAGTGTGGGAAGGCCTTTAGTGGAAGGTCAAATCTCAGTAAACATCAGAAAACTCACACTGGAGAAAAGCCTTATTTCTGTTCTGAATGTGGGAAGACCTTCAGACAAAAATCAGAGTTGATTACACATCATAGAATTCATACTGGAGAGAAACCTTATGAGTGCACTGATTGTGCAAAATCTTTCACTAAGAAATCACAGCTCCAAGTACATCAGCGAATACACACTGGAGAGAAACCTTATGTGTGTGCTGAGTGTGGGAAAGCATTTACTGACAGATCCAATTTGAATAAACACCAGACAACACACACTGGTGACAAACCTTACAAGTGTGAAGTGTGTGGAAAAGGCTTTGTTCAGAAATCAGTGCTCAGTGTGCATCAGAGTATTCATATTTGAGACAAAGTGGGAAAAATGTTAATGAGGACGTGTGTATAATGTGAATCTAGTCATCAGACCACTGTATGTTATTAAGTAGACACATCTATATCAGTGTCACACTGAAGAGGAGGGCGACTGGGAAGATGCAGAGATGGAACTCCTAGCCCACTGCCGCCAGGCTCACTAAACCTTGGGACTTTCATACTGAGTAGGAGCTGAATCAGTTTGATGCCTTAATGAGAAATGCTATCTAAAATGTGATGGAAAATTGCTTCTCAGCCTTTTGGCTAAGATCAAATGAAGTTTCTTCTTATCAGTTCAAAATATAATGCAATGCTATTAGAAGAATTTTTAGGGAAGATTACGTTAAATTGTTTAATCCTGTTTTCTGTGGAATAGGGATAGTGCCAATGAAGTAGTTAAAAAAATAATAACTCATATATATATTATGGTAAATTCAAAGTTCTGCGAGTTGATTCAAAACACATTGTTTTACAGTTGTCACTGTTTTTCATTGTTAACAGATTTGTACATATTCAGTCTATAATTGAATAATTCTTTTTAGGAAATACGTGTCTTTTTTTTTTTTTAAGGAAAACCTGTTTATATAGATGTGGAGCTGAGAATGTGTTAAACTTAAAATTTCCTTTATTACTCCCTGGGAGTATCTTTGAGTCTCATAAGAACTAATATTAAAACAGACTCAAACATACTGTGATTATCTGCGCGAGGTCCATTTTCATGCCAAACGTTCTACAGGACCGGTTTTGCCAAGTGCCTGAAGCACATGAGTTTAGTGTCTGTGAGTGTCTTTGCATCCGTAATGCCCGCAGGAAGAGCACAGGTCATAATTCTACCTGTGTGCTTTCTACCTCGTGTCTAATGATAAACCCTCGGAATACTTTGCTACCTGACCCTAACAGGCTGCTTCAAAATTATAGCTGTTCTGCCTTCCTCTTCTATAATGTTCCATACCTGTAAGCATAAGGATAATGTGTACATTTGTTTGTGTATTCTAACAGTAGATCATTTTCATAGTATTCTTTACCACTTTGAGCCTGGGTACCTGCATGTGGGTGGGCATGGGACTCTCAGGGAACTGTCCCCTGTGAGCTTGTGGATGGGAATGTTGATGTGCTTATTCCTGGGCTGCTGCATTCTCACATGGGTTGAGGCATCAGAGCTGAGCCTCATGGCCTGGGTATATGCCTGTGTGTGTGTAAGGGGGAGAGAATGGAGCTTGTTCTGTGTTTCTGTTTTGCATAATTAACCAAGGGTAGTTTCTTGCAGTTCCTGTATGAGTTTCTTAGGGCTGGTGACCTTATATCCTATGGTATAGCTCACTGAAAGAACAGAGTACCCATGTCCTGTCCCAACATTAACTGCATAAACCTCCTAGGAACTCTGTTTAGACTGACAAAAAAAAGGGATGCAGATTCAAGAAGGTCCTGGTGATTCCATGGGCATCCCATAGAAAGAGAACAACAAACCTGGCCTTAGCTCCATGATCAAAGAGGAGAGGGACTTGGGGACAGGATGGTGTGTTCAGATGGTGGCCCCTTATGGCCAGTTCAGCAATTTCTCATTAGCTTTAGCAGATGACCTGGCAGCTGGGAGTTTGGTCCAGCCTAGATAGAAATTGCTTTTTTCCTCGGTCACTCTTAAGAACAAGACACATTTATCATTGGCTCCTAGACAAATGCTTGGGGAATCCTGCCTGAGAGTATTTTGTTTCCCATGCATATTTTTTAAAGATTTATTTTGTTTTCTTTTTATAAATTTTATTTTTTATAATGATTACATGGTGTATCAGGGTGGGAAGGATTGAGGTTTAGGGAAAATTGGGTGAACTCATTGCTTCCAAATTTGCGATTTCTTCTTGTTTCTGGGGAAAAGGGAGAGAAAAGAGGGGAAATTACAACTTTCTACCTGAACCCTATCAGATCCCCCATTTCTGGGACTCACAAACCCGGCCCCCACTGGGCCCAGGCTGGCATGGCTCACCTAACCTCAGTGTCCGCAATCTTTTTTTTTTTTTAAAGGATTTATTTTTATTATTTTTTTATTGGAAAGGCGGATGTACAGAGAGGAAGATCTTCCATCTGATGCTTCACTCCCCAAGTGAGCGCAACGGCCAATGCTATGCCAATCCGAAGCCAGGAGCCTCTTCCGGGTCTCCCACGCGGGTGCAGGGTCCCAAAGCTTTGGGCCATCCTTGAATGCTTTCCCCGGGCCACAGTCAGGGAGCTGGAAGGGAAGCGGGGCTGCCGGGATAGAACCGGTGCCCATTTGGGATCTCGGGCGTGCAAAGCGAGGACCTTAACCACTTGCGCCACCACGCCAGGCCCAGTGTCTGCAATCTTATTGCGCAGCCTGGCCTGGTCCAGTCTGCCCCTGTTGCAGCTCCTTCTGGTGGGAGCTGCAGCCTATCCCAGCCCAATCTAATTGCTGTCCCAGTTCTAATGTGAACTGTCTGGTGTTTAATGATGTGGTGTCCTGGGTGTCACCACAGGACCAGGAGCTTGATGAGTGGAGATAGTGTAGTGGCTGCCCAAGGTGTGGGGCCAGGCTGCGTTGAGAGGCCTCTCTTGCCTTCTGCACAACACTGTAAATAAAAGCTTGGCCTCTGTCATAGCTCCTTAGTGATCTCTGGTGCAGTTTCTGCTTTCTTGAACCTACTTGGGATCCTCAGGTCTTGGGGGTCCCTCTTGTGGAGACCGGGGGACTCAAGGTGTGACATCCACACCAAGTAGAACTTTGGGCCATAGGATGCAAAGGTGAGATGAACCAGTGCACACTTTATTGAATTTTTTTGGAACAACTTATACCAGTTTTTTGCAGGGCAAGCAGTTAGATAAAAGTTACTAGTTAACTAAACAGTAGCATCCAAGCTGCTCCAATGACAGATCATAAGCGCTCAAGGGAATAATCACCAGGTCTCAGGCAACAGGATAAGTAACCATGAGTTACCGGTAAACAAACAGGTCTAACTAGGGAAAGAATCTAACAGAGCTTTCTCTGTGTTGAGATACATTCAGGCTATAATTGCTAAAGAAAGAAATGATAGTGAAGACGCCTCCCACCTTCCCAGGCACGCTGTGCAGACACGGTGGTCCACAGTCTCAGCGGGAAGTTTGCTTCCTGCATAATTCTCAGGTTGCTGAGAGTGTCTGAAACTCGGTGTCCTCGGGTATTTGGTGGTCTGGGTCAGGGAGTGGATCTCCACAATTAATAAACCTCAACACTTAGGACCCCTGGAAGCACCCTCTGGCATGACAGTCTTGAAATTGACTGATGCTGGATTTTCTTTTTTTTTTTTTTAAGTAAGATTTGTTTATTTTTATTGGAAAGTTGGATTCAGAGAGGAGAAGAGACAGAGAGGAAGATCCTCTGTCCACTGATTCACTTCCCAAGTCGCCACAGTGACCAGAGCTGAACCCATCTGGAGCCAGGAGCTTTTCCAGGTCTCCCACATGGGTGCAGGGTCCCAAGGCTTTGGGCCTTCCTTGACTGCTTTCCCAGGCCACAAGCAGAGAGCTGGATGGGAAGCAGGGCAGCTGGAAAATGAACATGCCCACATGGGATCCCAGTGGACGCAAGGCAAGGACTTCAGCCACTAGGCTACTGCACTGGGCCTGGAATTATTTTTGTTAAAGATTTATTTATATGAAGGAGTTAATAGAGGAGAAAAAGGTCTTCCATCTGCTGGCTTACTTGGGCTTGGTCATGCTCAAGCCGGGAGCCAGAAGCTTCTCCAGTCTCCCACTTGGGCGGCAGGGTCCTGGGCCATCCTTCACTACTTTTCCCATGGTATTAGCATGGAGCTGGATTGGAAGTGGAACAGCTGGGATTTGGATGGGCACCCATATAGGATGCCAGTGTGACAGGTGGTGGCTTTACTCACTCTCCCATAGTGTTCACCCTCATATTCTAGACCTTAATTGCTTTTTTGCCACCTCACCTCCTGGAATCTCAGTGTAGGTGGGATCCTTGTGAACACTAATGTGTATACACTTTAATAGCACTCCTGTCAACACTGCCCTGAATGTGCCTGTACTAACCAGGGGATTAGGTCCTGGCCTGGTGCCTGCTGGCCCTGAGTCTGAGGGTCACTGAGTTCACAGTTGCCGGATGCAGTGGTCTCCAGGTTGTACACTGGCCACATCCTGGTCTTACCTGGCTTCATCTCGGTGATCCTCAGATTGCATGACCTGGGGACCACTGTGTCCTAATGTGGAGCGTATGTGTGTGTCCTCACCTGGGACGGTGATAGTCTTCTGAGAGCACAGGAGGTTACTGGAGGTGGGGAGGCAGCAGCATTGGTGGAGTCCGGCCGACTGTGATCTTAGAGTCAGAATTACTTTATGAAAAGGCTTGTGACCTTCTCTGAAGAGTGAGCCCTTGTCATTGGCAGCAGGGGAATCCCTCCACCATGTGCTTGGACTCAGCCTTGTTCTAGGGGCTCAGGCTGGCACTGTGCCCCAAGCATGAGTGGCTTGGGTGAGGGTGAGTGAGCCCAGTGCCTAGTCTGCCTCACTCCTGGGCATGCTGTGCCAGGGTGTGGAATGTTCATAAAGTCTGGGGTCTCTGTGTATCTGCTGGGGGTTATGAGTTGGGCCTGAGGCCCAGGGTCAAGTTGCTGAAAGAACACAGCACCAGCATCCCAACTCCAACCACACAACCTTGTCGAGATTGCATTTAGACCTACAGAGGATGAACATACAGATCAAAGAAGGTGCTCGGCATACTATTTCCATCCCCTCTGTCAAGGTAACCATAACAGCATGAGCAAGAGGAGATGAGGGAGAAGATGGACCCTCAGGTCACCCTGCTAGGCTGGGCGGCTTCTTACTACCAGTACCAGCATTTCCTGACTGCTCCATCATTCTTCCATTTGAAATTAGATTGTTTTTTCTCAGTGGAACTAGTAACTCTTGAACAAGATGGCTTTCTCAAATGCTCAAGAACCCAACGGCTTGGTAGTTCCAGTCC